TGCGGCAGAAAGCGGCCAGGACAGTGGGATGAGCGTGTGCACAGCTAGGGGTGGACTCTGAGGGGGATTCGTGGAAAGGTGTCTTTCACTGTAAGAGATCTTTTGTTTGTTTGTTTGAGACAGGGTCTCACCATGTAGTTGAGACTGACCTGGAACTCACTGTGTAGCCCAGGCTGGTCTTGAACTCACAGCAATCCTCCTGCTTCAGCCTCCCAAGTGCTGGGATTATAGGTGTGAGCCACGACGTCCAGCTCCTGTAAGAGATTTTTAAAACACTTTAAATAGTCGCAATTTTTTTTTGTACCAGGGATCCAACTCGGGACCTCCTGAATTCACCACTGTAATTTTTGACCACACATTATAATTTCCCAGCCACCTCGCTATTTAGCTGCGTTTTAGGGATAATGAATCTGAAGCTTCCATCCACCCACTCTCACTGCTCCCCAAAGCCTGACCCCGAGAAGCTCTGCAGCCCAGAGGCTCACCCCACACCTGTCAGCACACCGGGTCATCCTGGGCTCGGGGAGGGAGAGCGGCGGCCACACCCTGTTGCACCCTGCCCGGCCCGGCTGGGTGTCATCGCTCCCTGCACACCCAGCCGAATGCCAGGCCAGTGAGGCACCGTGTTTTCTGCTCACCCTGCTCCACTTGCTCTCCAGGTGCGGGGCAGGGAGCAAGGTGTCCCCCAGGCCCCACAGCTGAGTCAGGGCACTAAGCCGTCTAGAACTGGGGCTCCAGACTAAAACGCTGTGTCTGTGCTGAGGAAGGGTGGACGAGACAGGACAAGACAGCCGGGGGGCATGTGGGACCAGCAGGTGGCCTCTGCCCAGGGGCAGTGGCAATTTCTCTTCCTCCTCAAGCTTAGATCAAGTGGCTCACAACCTCTTTTTGCAGAACTACCTGTTTGGAGGTGGGCATGGTGGTGCACTTGGGAGGCTGAGGCAGGAGGGTCACCTCGGAGTTCTAGGCCAGCCTGAAGTACACAGCAAGATCCTGTCTCAAAAAACAAAACAGAGCCAGGGATTTAGCTCAGTGGCACCATGTCTGCCTCACAAGCACAAGGCCCTAAGTTCCATACTGGTTAAAAAAAAAAAAAAAAAAAAGATAGTAAAAGGCCCTCTTCTGATTTTGCACTGGGAAGCTAGGATGGAACTCAGTAGTACACTTAGCACCCAGCCAGGACTGAGTATGGGTGTCCTGTCCCTAAAATGGGGTAACCGTCTGCTGAGAATTGAAGAACGGGTCACACTGAAGACCCAGAGCTGCAAGCCAACAAGGGCACCAAGATAAAGGCAAACACCAGAGAGCTGTTTAACTCAGGGTTTCCCTAAAATCCTTTTTTTGCAGTACCAGGGATCAATCTCAGTACCTTGTGATTGCAAGGCAGGTGGCGATGCCACTGAGCTAAATCTCCGGCTCTCCCCATCATTTTTTTTGAGACAGCGTCATGCTAGGTATATAGCCCTAGTTGGCTTTGAATTCACAGCAATCCTCCTGCCTCAGCCTCCTGTGCTGAGATTACAGGGATGCACCGGGTGGTCAGGACTCAGAAAGCCTCCACTTGGAAGCCCCAGCCTGTGTTGTTCCAGATAAACCCAGGGGCCAAGCTGTAGCTCAGGGGCTATATGACTTCATGTGTGTGCAGGGGAGCCTGGGTTCCATCCTCAGCATCCAAACCCAACACTGGACCCAGGCTGCGAGTCTGGGTGGGCTGTGCAGCTCCACAGCAGGAAGGGGCCCAGGCCAGTGCCTGAAACACCGGGGGCACTGCTGCCATCTGGTGGCAGGCCACAGCCCTGCAGCAGACACGGCGGAGGGAGAGCAATGCCACACCCTTTGCCGTCATGTGGCAGTGGGCACACCGCAGCATCGGAAATTGGAATGAACAAGTTCTTTCATTTTTGGTAGCCTTGGGGACTGAAGCCAGGGCTTTCACATGGAGCTACACCCTCAACTCTTTTGAGACAGGGTTTGGCCAGTTACCCAGGCTGGGCTGGAACTTTTGATCCTCCTGCCTCAGCCTCCTGAGTGCTGCTGCGATTACACATGTGCCACCACGCCTGGCTTCACAGTTCAAATTTGTGAACTGTCCCCAAAATGTCCTTTCTAGTACTTTTGTTTCTGAACCAAGGTCTCCTGATTCTGAGCATCTCCCACTACTTGGTAAATCCCTTGAGGGGAAGCCTGTGTCTTGTGCTCAGAAATCCTTGAGTAAAGGAAACAGCTTTCCTGGGCTGAGGGTTTAGCCCAATGGTTCCACTGCCTTCCTCACAAGGGCAAGGTCCCAAGTTCCATGCTTGGTACCAAAGAAACAGCTTTCCCACAGAGCAACCTCTTCCCAGTTGGTATGAATGGGGGATTTGGATGTGCAAAGGGTCATCCGAATACCAGGGCCAAAAGATGCTGAGACAGATACAGGGTGTGATGGAGGCCTGTCATCCCAGCATCCTGGGAGGCTGAGGCAGGAGGATCAAGCTTGAGCCAAGCTTGGGCAACTTAGTGAGACTCTGTCTTAAAACAGGAAATTAAAAAATATAAAGCTGGGCATGGTGGCGCATGCCTGTAATCCCAGCACTTGGGAGGCTGAGGCAGGAGGATCGCTGTGAGTTCGAGACCAGCCTGGGCTACATAGTTGAGTTCTAAGTCAGTCTCAACACATAGTGAGACCCTGTATCAAAAACAAAAAAAACAAAACGCACGCACACATATATATCTGGGCTTTCCATCAGTGATGACCACCCGAGAGCAGGCCTCTGGAGAAGTCAGGGAGCACAGGAAGCACCTGGTGCAAAGCCCCAATTTCTACTTCAAGGATGCAAAGTGCCCAAGACGCCATAAAATCACAGCTGTGCAGACGGCAGTTTTATTGCTGCCCCACGGTCCTCTGCCAGCCAGCAGGAGACAGGGTCTCACTATGGAGCCCAGGCTGGCCTCAAATTCCCAGAATTCCTCCTGCTCAGCCCCCTCTACTGGGATTACAGGGGTTCGGCACGTCTGAGGGACAAACTAGGGCTACTTAGGTAGTCTGAAACCAAGAAAATCCTTATTCTTGCCTAGAGACAATCCTAATGCCCAGAATGACACTGGTTATTTGATGGGAGGAAGGCAAGGCTGGAGTTTATGTTCGGGTCAGAGTAGGGTCTTGGCCATTGGTTTTTAAGCTGGTACGGAAATGGGGAGCTAAGTTGTGTTTCTACATCTTCACATGCTTGGTTCTTCCGCCCTGAACTTGAGGATCCCACTTTGTGTGAGAACAGTAAATGTTAACAGCTGGCTCCACGGGGTCTACACGGTTTCCCACAGGAAAGCTTTCGCATGGAAGGTCTCCAGCTTGTGACAAGCCAGGCTCAGGGGGCAGTGAATGTTCTAGAAACAGGAAGCTGTCCTGTTGGAGAGGCATCAAATGAACACAGGCTATCAGCACATGGGCTAAAGAGTTCAGGTTCTACTCTACACACAGGGAACCGCTCCCAAGGTTGACTGTGCAAACACACACCTGCTCCAGTCCATTAACAGAGCAGAGTCAGTCACTGAGGTAAGGAAGTCAAGCAGGTTGGCCAGGAATCTCGCTGGAGCTGTATAGCAGGCAAGCAAGAAAGAGCTTATTTCACTTAGACAGGGTCTCACTAATGTAGCCCAGGCTGGCCTTGAATCTATCCTCCTGTCTCCGCCTCCCAAGTGCTGGGATAACAGCTGAGTACCACTGTACCCCACCATTATTTTATCCGTTTTTTTTTCTTGGTACGGGGTATCGAACTCGGGTCCTTACGCTTGCAAGGCAAGCAGCATTATTTTATCTTTAAAACAAACCAAAAAACCAGGGTCTTGCTAAGCATTTTGTTACGATTAAAGACATTTTATAGACCTTATACAGACTTCATGACAAATGACAAAACCCTAACTGTAATAACAAACCCTTGGAGCCAGGTGTGGAGCCACACCTAACCCCAGCACGCTGGGAGTCTGGGGCAGGTCACTAAGTTCAAGCCCAGCCCACACGTGACAGCCTCCAAGGGCAGCATCATTCCCGCTAGCCCACCAAGAACCAGGCAGACGGCGTGGGTTCAAGGTCAAGTTTATTTTTATTTTCAGAGCCTGCAACAGTTGGTCACCTTGCAGCTACGAGGGCAGACTCTGAGAGTCAACCCTTGTTGGGCGCTCAACGAACAGATTCCCCGCAGACGCGATCAGAGACCGCCGGGGCCCAGCCTTCTCCCTCCCGCTCCCCTCGTATTTCCCAACAAGATTCTTTTACAGCCAAATGCACTGGAACCCACCCGTCACCCAGCCACCAGCGTCTGCAGCACGGCTGATGGGCGCTTCTCCTGAGGAAAACCCCGCTTACCCGAGGGGACGCCGGGAAAGGCCAGGGCACGGCGCAGTGGGGGACGCTGTGCAGAACCCGTTAAGGTGGCCGCTGGACACCTGTTTCTGTGGGACTAAGTCAGGGAGAACTGGTGATCTACTTCCTGTCCCTCCAATTAAAACATGATACAGCCAGGTCACCTGGGAGGCCGCCGCCCCTCAGAAGCGACACTATCTTAAGGATCAGAAGCCAGGAGCGCATGGGACAGCGGAGGGACACAGCAGCCCGTCCCGTCCCGTCCCTGCCGTGGCACCGAGGAGGGGACACACCCGAGGTGGCCGGCCAGAGGGCCCGGGAAGTCAGCTCGCGTCCTGGACGCCACACCGAGGCCGCCTGCTCCCACCAGGGCCTTAGTCCTTGGCTTGAAATAGCAGCCGGGGCGCAGCCGACTCTGACAGGCCTCGCTCCCCTTCTGGAGTGACAAGCGGAGGTGGCCCCGGGCGGCGGGCCCCGTCCTGGAACGGCAGTATTGACTTACGGAAGCAGAAGAGTGAGAGTCCCCGGGAGTCAAAAAGAAAGAAAGTAATGGACGGAGCTGAATAAATTAAACCCACGGTTACCCGAGGCCGCGGGGCCAAACCGCCGCTCAGGTGTCTTTGGTACCAGCCCGGCAGGCAGAGCCGAGGCTGTGAGAGTCCCCGGGAGTCAAAAAGAAAGAAAGTAATGGACGGAGCTGAATAAATTAAACCCACGGTTACCCGAGGCCGCGGGGCCAAACCGCCGCTCAGGTGTCTTTGGTACCAGCCCGGCAGGCAGAGCCGAGGCCCGCTGTCCGGGTCCCGCAGCGCCGCCTCAGAGCTTCTTCAGGCGGCTGTACATCTCGCGCTTGCTCCGCTCCCCCGCCCAGGTCCGGCTCTTGGTGCGGAACTTCTTCAGGTCCTCCTTGAAGTCCTCGTGGTGCATGGGCCGGTAGCTGGGGGGCTCGCAGTGAGCCTGGGGAGGGACGCGGGTCAGGGTCTCCCGCCGCACCCACCCGCCCGGCCTGGTGGGACTCGCGCTCACCTGGCACTTGAGGAAGAACTCCTTGTACCCGCCCTTCAGCACGTACAGCTCGGGGTAGTGCAGCCTGGGGTACTCGTTCCCCAGCCGATCCTTCTCCCTCACGTAGCGGCACCTGGTGGGGGAGCGGATGGCTGTCTGCGCGGTGCTGGCCACGCTCCCGTCCCGCACCCCTGCTCCCGGACAGCCAGCCCCGAGCCTGCCCTGCACGGAAGTCCCAAGAGAGCACACGGAACGAAGGCTCTTCCCGTCACCCCGAGGCTGGGAGCACATCCACGTCCCGCAGGGACCCCCAACTCGCCCCCCACCGCAGCCCCTCTGCACGGCTGCTGCGTTCAGCGTGCCCGCCTCCGCTCTGCTCTCCGTGTGCGGGGCTCTGCTCACTGCCAGCCCCCCAAGGGTCCGGCCCCTCCTCGCACTGTGTGGCCTGCTCATGTGGTGACACCAGGGTCTGTGCCAACGCAGAGCCAAGGGCTGGGGGTGCAGCTCAGTGGCAGAGCTGGCCGAGGACGCACAAGGCCCCAGGCTCCACCCAGCACCACCCTAAACAAACAAGAACAGGAAAACAGCCTTCTCGCACTCCTGGCGCTTGCACAACACCACATGGGACTTGAAAGATGTCACATGAGACCAGTGGTCCCATAGCAAACAGGAAGGGCCAAAGTTCACTACACAGGACCAACAAGGAGCTGCTGGGGCGGAGGGTACACTAGCATCACCCATGGCGGGCTGGAGGTGCCCCAAGCTGCCCGCTAGAGCCCACAGACTACACAAATGAGCCAGCTGTTAAGTGGATAGGGTTTGGGAAAATGCCTGTTCCCCAGCCTTGCTTTTATCTGTTGAAGACAACAAGGTCCATAGTTAGTGGCTCAAACCGGAGGCAAATTAAAAAACTTTTCCTGTGTTAACTTAATTTTTCCTATTGCCTGCTGGGCACATTTAATTGCCTTTATAAACTTCTGTCATCACCACCATCTTTTCAGTAATTCCAGGCTTTAAAATTTTTTTTCTGGATTTAGTCTAATTGTCTTTGTTCTTAAAGTTTTTTTTGTTTTGTTTTGTTTTTTTGCGGAACCGGGGATCAAACTCAGGACCTTGCTTTTTGCCAGGTAGGCACTGGTGCCACTGAGCTAAATCTCCGGTCCTCAGAATATCTTTAAAACCTACCTGCAACAGTTCTCTTTATTGAAAAAATGACTTACTGTGAAAGTAGAAGCCATATCAATTCTGGCTGTAGGCCTCTATATATGATTAAAAGTGTTTTCAAAACGCGGGCGTGGTGGCACAGGCCTGTAATCCCAGCACTCGGGAGGCTGAGGCAGGAGGATCGCTGTGAGTTTGAGACCAGTCTGGGCTACACAGTGAGTTCCAGGTCAGTCTCAACTACATAGTGATCCCTGTCTCAAAAAAAACAAAACAAAACAAACAAACAAACAAAATAACAAACAACAACAACAACAAAAGACAAGGTCCCACAATGTCTCTAAGCTGCCCAGGCCAGGGTGGAACTTATAATCCTCCTGCCTCAGCCTCCCGGGGTACTGGGGTGACAGGCGTGCACCGCACACCCAGCCGGCAAGGGGATGCTCCATGTGCTGAAACCCACCCTGTGTGGCAGCCACCCAGAGGCCCTGGGCCTGGACGGCACAGCACTCACATGCGAGGGCCCCTCTCGGAAGAAAACTCGCAGTGGAACACGACGATGACGCGCCTGCCATCGGTGGGCACGATGGGCTTCTTCAGCAGGAAGTCTTCCACCTCCTCCTCCATGTGCAGGTTCACCGCCCCCTGGAGGAAGGAAGCAGAGCCAGCTGTCAGCACACACAGCACTGGTGACTGTGGGGCCCACCTCACACAGCCCAGTGCAGAGCGCAGGGTCGGGAAGCCACACCTCCCTTCATGAGCCGTGCCTGTAAACCTCGGGCTCTCCTAAGTGGCAGACACTGGGGGGCACGCACACACCTGTCCCAGCTCGCCCCCTGCCAAGCGGCAGACGTGGGGCTCCTCGCCAGGAGTGCACAGTGCCCAGGAGCCCAGGGCTGTAACCCCGCCTCCGGCCTTGATCCCCGCCCCCAGCGGTGAGGCGCTGAGCAGCCAGCTTGCCGCCCTGAACCAGACTGCGCCTGGGTCTCCCTGAGGCTGGCAGCCCTACCTTGATGTGGCCTCCCTCGTACTCGTACGGGTACCGGCAGTCGATGATGACGAACTCCTTAATGAGGTTGGCGAACGTGCCGTTCAAAACGGATGCCATCTGTGGGAGAGACCAGGAGGCCAACGTTGGTTGCTGGACACAACTATGCCTAGATACCCGCGTGTGGCGGGTTTCCGAAGGTCACTTACAATTTCTGGAGAAATGTACTTTAAATCCTGATGCTTCCCAGCCACTGTATGAAAGAGATAACCCTAAAAACACAAAACAGCAAACCAGGTGGTGAGGCTTCCCGCAGCAGCAGTGAGCCAGTCCCGACTCAGGCCTCTGGGTGTTACTGTTGCCTCTGCTGTGCAGTGACCAGGATCCGGCCTGAGAGCCCGTCTTTGGCTGGAGCCAGGCATCGTGCAGACAGCTCCGCCCCAAAGCCCCGATCGGCACAGTGAGTGCACCAGTGTCACCCGCACCTGAGAACCGGACTTGGTTCCCCAGTCTCGGCCAGAGCGTGTCACTCAGCCAGAGCAAGCAGCCGTCACACAGTTACCTTGGAGAAATCTCCTATGAGGTCCCGGGGGTCACTGTCCAAGATGTTCTCAATGCTCCCTTTTGGGGACGGCACCAGGGATAAAGAATGATGCAGAAGCTGTAATAAAGCAAAGGGAGCCCATGAGGCTGGCGTTCCGATGCCCACGTCTGGCAAGTCAGTTTTTCCTGTCCGGTGGAAGGGGAGCGGCACATGCATGGGAAGGTCGCAGCTCAATGGGAAGGCCCTGGGTTCAATCCTGGGGTCAAACTTCTGATCCTCCTGCCTCAGCCTCCCACCAAGTGCTGGGATGACAGGCCTGCGCCATCCCGCCCAGCTACAATTTCTTAGTATCAGGCATCAGTCAATACTGGGTTCGGCTTGCCCGACTACCTCTTTAATGACCTTGCATTTATTTGCTCGTATCCAGACTGAAGCAAGGTCCACCCTCCGCAGCAGGCACCTGACCCAGCTGGCGCCCAGGTTCCACCTCTGTGCCCTCTGCACTTACAGAAGAACCCAGGCCACCTGTCCCACGCAGACACTGGTGGCATCCGACACTGTCTTCCATTCTCCAGGTGCCTGTAACCCTAGACTCTAGAGGCTGTTTTTTTGGCGATATCACATGGGTGATGGTATCTGCTTTGATCGGGCAGTTGTTTGGTGCCCAGATGTATCACTTCGTTTAACAAGGGTTTCAAAACAGTGATGGTAGGCTGGGGGTGTGGCTCAGTGTGCAGACAGCTTGCCCAGGGCGCACATGACCTGTTTCTGGGTTCAATCCCAGGGCCCCCAGCCACCCCGCAGCCAGGTGTGCGGGTGCGAACCTGTAAGCCTAGCACACTGGGAGGCTAAGGAAGGAGGAACACCAGGTCCAAGCAACTGAGCAAGATGCTCTCCCAAAGAGCTGGGGATGTAATTCAGCGAAAAGGTCCAAGGTTCAATTCCCAAGACGGGAAAAAAAAAATCTAGCTTGCCTTTTTTTTTGAGACAGGATCTCACTATGTTATCCGGGCTGGCGTTGAACTCAAGTGGCCTCCTGCCTCAGCCACCCCACCCAGCCCCCAAAGCACTAATTCTGGAAGCCACAGTAAAGGCCGCCATCTCCTCCTGTCCTGTCCCGCCCTGCGGTGGGGCTGGGGTCCTCTATCTCCCCAGCAGGAGGGAAAAGTAGCCTTTTGCTTTCTTCTCTCTGCATAAAAGATGCCTTTTGTATCCCAACGAACAGCAACATTAACTACTCCTGGGAAAAGGGACTAAAAAGACAGTGAAGGCTTTCTACTCAGCAACTTTTCTTTGTCTTTACGGAACCCGCAACACAGATAACAGCACAGGATCACCTAGAAATTTTTTTAGCCTGGGTCTGGCTGCAGAGTTCAGGCTGGTCTTGTGCTCACCATGCAGTGATCCTCCTGCCTCAGCCTTCCAAGTGCTGGGATTACAAGACAGCAGCACAACCCACAGCAACCACCTGAAATTTATAACCACCCTGGTGCCCACCCATCTGATGCCTCCCCACAATCACCACAGAAGGCCTGGGTCTGTAACCTGGCAGCAGAATGGCCTGACTGGAGACACCGCCACCTTCTCTGGTTTGCTAGCTTTCCAAGTCAGTCTCCCTCCCCAGCTTGTTCTTGAGTCACAAGCAATGAGCGTGGTGTGTTCATAGCATATGCACACACTTCCCAAAGCTGAACATGCAAGGGTGCTGAGTACTGCAGCTGTCAAGGGTAAAAAAACTAGAAACCGGGCTAGGTATAGTGACGCCCACTTGTCATCCCAGCACTGGAGAGGCTGAGGCAGGAAGAAGTTCGAGACCAGCCTGGGCCATATAGTAAGACCTTCTCAAAAACAACAGCAACAGCAACAATAAAACTAGAAAGCAGCTAAATGTTCATCAGCAGAAAAAAAGTGTATACACGAAAAGGATGCTCACAAAACTACTAAAAAGTAATTTAGAGTTGTGTCCCCACAAGGATGTTCATGATAGGAGATACCCAAGAGCATATATATATGCTTATAAAACACAAATACAATTAGCTGGGCGTGGTGGCGCACACCTGTAATCCCAGCACTCGGGAGGCTGAGGCAGGAGGATCGCTGTGAGTTCGAGACCAACCTGGGCTACACAGTGAACTACATAGTGAGACCCCGTCTCAAAACAAATAAAAATGAAATTCTTTATTTCCGTACCTATTAAAAAAAAAAAAAAAAAAAAAAAAAGGTATATGCCAAACCTAAAGCGGTGAGAAAACAGGAGGAAACAAGGGGGGGTGGGGAGACAGTTGCTGGGGATTTAGCTCAGTGACACTATGCCTGCCTCGCAAGTACAAGGTCCAGAGTTTGATCCTCAGTACAAAAAAAAGTTTCTAAGAAAAGCCTATTCCTTTAGGCAAAGGACAATTTCTCAAGGTAAAAAACAGAACCGTAGGCCAATAACCAGTCTACCACCCCAGCTAAAGACTACGGAAGAGTGCAGACCCTCAATACCCACTAGAAAGAGGGGTGCTGAGACCCCCACATGCCGTATTCCCCCTCCACTGGAAGGGGGGCTGCTCCCACCTGATGGGTGGAGGCTGGTAGCCCAGGCGCCTGCAGTCAGAGGCTCATGAAAAGTGCATTACAAAAAGCCCTAAACACACAGGAGACACGAAACATCACCATTCCCACCAAGAACCAGAAAAGCCTAAGTCAAATAGGAAAAAACAGAGGCCAACACTGGGAATAGAAGTCAGAGTAACCTGACAAGGATCTTCAAGCTGCCATCTTAAAAATGCTTCAAGGGCAATCACCAGTACGCTTGAAACAAATGAGAACAGCAAAGCCCAGAACAGAACCAGCAAGTCTCAGCACAGCAAGCGCGCAGCGCGGAAGGCGGGTCCGGTGAGAGCGCAGCAACCCTGCAGGCACACACCTCCGGCGTCTTCTGCAGACCAGAGCCCCCCGCGCTCCTCCTGCGCTTCGAGCTGGCCCGCGAGTCCTCCGGCCACCGCTCGGGTCTCTTCAGCACCGGCCGCGAGCTGGGGCTGCACACGGAAGGGGAGTCAGCAAGCTGGCCTCGGTTGCCCTTAAGGAGAAAAAGACAGCGCCATCTTTCATGAAAATCTGTTCACCTGCAAGGCCAGGAGACTTCAAGTTCATTCAGAAATCGGAAACAGCCGGAACAGCATGGAGCCCACGATATGGAGAGTGCTCCAGGTCTCAGCGTGGGCCACTCCTGGGGAGCAGGATTCTCTACCTCTTCCCTTTCAGAAGCTCATTTCCTAGTGTGCTACCAGCAATGCTGAGACTGCCATGGCTACGCTTGCTGTGGCTGAGGCAGGAGCCTTGCCCTGTAGCCCGGATGGCCTCAATTCACTGTAGAGCCAGGGCTGTCCCTGCTGGGATCACAGGCGAATGCCCTGGCGCCTGGCTCTGTGGCGAGCACTTGTGAAAGGAAATTCCTCACTGTAGTTCATTTGCTCCATATTTACAACTTAGGTTATCAGCTATCAAAAGCTGGGCAGGAGGGTGCGCATCTGTAACCCCAGTGCTTGGGAGGCTGAGGCAGGAGGATCGCTGTGAGTTCACGGACAGCCTGGGCTATATTGAGTTAGTTAGGCTTCATTGTTTTTTTCCCAAACTGCCTGGTTGTTTGGTTGGTTGCCCTGAATCTGCAGTCCTGCTTCAGGCTGGCACATGCTCAGAAGAGAGGTGTCCTGCAAAGTCAGCTTGGTGCCCAGGGCCTGCTGCTGTGTCACCCTCAGGCTATGCTCGGCCAAGGCCGCATCGGGGGCACTTACAAGATTTGTCACTCTTCTTGTGACCAGGGGAGCGGTCCAGAGGCTGGCCATGCACGACGGGGTCCCCTCGTCATTCTGCAGGGCAGGACAACTGGCTTTAGAGATCCAGCAGCGACAGCTTCAAGGAGGCCCAGCCCCACACACATTACCAGTCTCCCAGCTGAGGGCGGCCAGGGGCAACACAGGTGACAGCCCCGTGGGGTTGGGAGGTCTCCTGCCACTTGGCACCTGGCCCTGCCCTGCCCTTATTTAGGGTCAACTCATTTGAGGTGAGGAGCAGCCTATCGGGGCCTCCTCCTGGCTCTCCCAAGCCACCAAGCTAGGAGCAGCCTCACACGAATGCAGGTGACACCGGCAGGGGTGGCTGGAATGGCAGGGACGGAACATACGTGTGCACGCGCACATCACACACGGTACCTTCAGATTCTCTCCATCAAGAAGGTCCATGAAGCCATCATCCTCGTCAGACAAAGTGGCTGTCACAGGTGATTGCGGCATAAAAAGAGGAACCAAATTCCCTGGCTCACTGCTTTCTCTTTCATTCGCGGAAAGCTAAAAGACCAAAAAGAAAAGATAGCTGCTCAGTTTAAACTGAAGAATGACCGTATAACTGCTTACGCCTTAACATGCTCGGGGTTTTTTTGTTTTTTGTTTGTTTGTTTGTTTGTTTTTGCAGAAATGGGGACAGATCCTAGGGCCTTTATATCGAGCTGTATCTATATCCCCAGTCCTTTATTTTTTATTTTGAGAAAGACTCTCACTGTTGCCCAGGCTGGGCTTGAACTTGGCAACCCTCCTGCCTCAGCCTCCCACAGTGCTGGAATTATAGGTATGCGCCACCATATTGTCTTTCTTTTCCAGACAGGGTCTCATTAATATAGTCTAGGCTGGCTTCACAGTCACTGCCTAACCCAGGCTAATCTCAAATTTACAACCCTCTGCCTCAGCTTCTCAAGTGGTGGGTTGATTGGCATGCACCACCGAACCTGCTTTAATCCTTTACTTTTTCCTTTTTTTTTTTTTTTTTTTTTTT